TCCATTCAGGTCGAAATTACCAGGACCTCCAATCGCGGCATGACTTAGTTTCCAAGGTTCGATCCTCAAACCTTAAAAACTAGGGGACTTCTGTTATGTCTGAGAAAACAAGGGCTGACGTGGAAAGTCACGTGATGAAGTGTGACCTGCTCCCATCAGAACAGTAAGCGCACGTCAGGCCTGCCAGGTGCCCTGGAGCTCCCACGTGTCCATTTCCCTGCTCCAAATCGCGTGAAATCAGCTTGGGAAATAGGCAATGAGACGTAAAGCAGGATTATGTCCTGACATTCACACCAACCCAAGGATTTAATGATGATTACACGCATTTAACTCGATATAAAAAGAGGAAGACCCCTTCATTAAGGGAATAAAACAATTTAAAAATAGAACTCTCTCTCTCTAAAAACTTTGTATTTACTTTTCCCAATCATTTGTAAGTCAGTCAACTTTGCGACCTGACCCACCATATTAATACAAATCAGTGGATGTAGGACTTGCTACCTTAGCATCCGAACTACTTTAAAAGCTCATTTGTAAGTCAGTCCACTTTGTGACCTGACCCACCATATTAATACAAATCAGTGGATGTAGGACTTGCTACCTTAGCATCCGAACTACTTTAAAAGCTCTCATTGCATTTATTTCACATTCTCTATCCATAATCACGTGTGTTTCTTGACTAATCAACGTTGCGCACGTGTCGATTAGTTGGTGTTAAAATCACGCATCAACACCACTCTTCAGAGCCTGACAGATGCTGCAAAAGCAAAAGATTGGGTCCAGAAAAATGTCGTGGCTTACTCTCCTGGTGTCAAATTTTGATACATTGCAGTCGGAAACGAAATCCACCCTGCTGATGCAGAAGCTAAGTTTGTTTTACCAGCAATAAAAAACGTTTACAGCGCGATAGCTGCAGCGAATTTACAAGGCCAGATCAAGGTTTCAACCGCAATCGACACTACCTTGTTAGGCAAATCCTCGCCTCCGTCTGAGGGAACTTTCAGTACTCAAGCGAGCTCCTACATCAGCCCTATAATTCAATTCCTGGCGAAAAATGGAGCTCCACTTCTTGCCAATGTCTACCCTTATTTTGCCTACACCGGTAACACCGCGCAAATCAAGTTGCCATATGCCTTGTTTACTGCTCCAGGAGTTGTAGTTCAGGATAAGCAATATCAATAAAGAAATCTGTTTGATGCAATGTTGGATTCTCTCTATGCGGCTTTGGAAAAGGCTGGTGCACCCAAATTGAAGATTGTTGTATCCGAAAGTGGGTGGCCTTCAGCAGGAAATCCTGCAGCGACTGTGAACAATGCAGAAACTTATTAAAGGAATTTGATAAATCATGTGAAGGGAACCGCGGGGACTCCCAGAAAGCCTGGAAAGGCTATTGAAACATATTTGTTTGCAATGTTTGATGAGAACCTGAAACCTGCAGGGACTGAGCAGCATTTTGGAGTGTTCTCGCCTAGTAAGCAGCAGAAGTATCAACTAAATTTTGGTTGAAAGATTTGCTACAAGTTTAAAAATAAGAGTGCCCTTGTGCCCATTTGTTAATGTACTCAAGGCCTTGCTTATAATAAATAAAGCAATTAAATACAATCTCAACATAATTTTTTGTCAAATTGTTGCTCAGGGCTCTGAAGAAAATCAAATCCAGATTTCTTTCGATCTAGCTCAGTCTTTGAGAATCAGAAAACAAAACAAAATTCATCTTGAAAATAAAATGTATTTGTTGAATTAAAACTTTAACAAAAGCAAGCATTCAGTTCAACAAGAGATAATGAATCTTACACCTCGAAATGCAATATTGATAACGTTTTTGTTATGGATAAAATACTGACGTCAAAACCACAATGAGCTATCAGTCCAATCAATCAAAGTTTAGCAAGCCACCAAAGACAAAATGATATTACCTGTGAAATCTCAAACCATCTCAAAAAGATATTATATAACACTTGTCCCAATTTTATCAAAATCAAGGATAAAGATGAATGAGAGCTCTTTACGTGTCAAGACAACTTGCAAAAATGTTCATTATATTGAGCTCAAAGGTATAAATAGGCAGCTCTCTTCATGGAAGAGGAGGCTTAGCATATGAGAGCTGAGCATACATTCGAGCTTCAACCATTATTTTTCTCTGTAAAGAAAGCATAACTCCATCTTTGTACGCTTTACAGGTGATACCAGAAAAATAATCAAAAAATAATAAAATAGCAATGGAGGTAGGATTTGCTTCAACCATTCGAGTCAATATAAAAATCTCTCTTTTCAATCTTTTATTTATATTTCTTCAAACATATATCACCATTGCATCATAATCAACTCTCATAATCATGTCACTTATAATTTCTTAACACTTTAAATGTGCGAAGTTGTTGGTGTTAAAATCAAGTATCAATAGTTTTCTTGTTTGATTTATTGCTCTTATGAGCCTATTAGTCAATTACTTCCAAGAAAATCTTGTATACAATGTCAACAATATCTGTAAAAAAGAGCTAAATAAATAAAATTTTCAATACCAATTATCTATCATCATCAAAGACTACTATTCTACGAGGCTCATTTCGCCACATAAGTATTGTTGAGTGGAATCAAGTTAAGATTTAGTCAAGCTGATGCCTTATTTTATGAGTTTCTTGGCAGCAATAAGCCAAAATATATGTTGTCCAGTATCGTTTTTTTTCCTTGATGAACAGGCAAAGAAGATTGGCCAAAAATAACAGCATTTTGCATCACCAAAGGGTGCCAAAAGTTTTCACGGAACTGTGACTCTGAGAGGAAAATCCCTGTCACATCACATTGTTAGATAGTGAAAACTTTGATCAGTTTACAAACCGTGGGTCCTCATAATCAAGTCATGTTTTAAATGAAAGATGTTTGCTTAAATAAAGAAAATCAATTAAGGTGGGATTCAAATCAGATAATATTTTCTTGATCGAGTGTTATATATATATATATATATATATACAACACCTTGCATAATTTCCTTAACATAATTTACTTAATGTGAACTCTTACTTGCAAAAATCTTCATCAAAAAAAACTGATAGAAGAATTTTCTAAGTAAGAATATACATCAAATAAATGAGTGAAACAAGGAAAGTGACCAATGAAAATTTTTCAAACTAGATATGGGCTTGACCTTGTGGCAATCCGGAAACTTCTGAGAAACCTGATTAGCCACGTCAGTCAACTCTAACTTGTGGAAAACTCAATGAATCCTGGCCCTTAACTGGACCCTTAACCTGTAACTTAGCCAGGTCAGTCAACTCTAACTTGTGGAAAACTTAATGAATCCTGTCCCTTAACTGGACCCTTAACCTGTAACTTCTGGTCCATGTTTTTCAGGTTTGGCCCATGCTTAATTTTGAAGGTTAGCCACCAGGCGGCCGAAGACTTTTCTTCCGGGTCTATAAATGCAAAAGGAGAATTGTAAAGAACTTTGCCACCAATTATGGCAGATTATGTGATTCACTGAATTTGACTAGTCTTTATTCATCTTAATATATCATTTGAAAAGTCTTGGTGTCATAGAATTCCATGGAGTAATTGACAAAAGATCTGGAACTGATTAGTCAAGACTGAGGTTTAAAATATTGGATCTCTTCCAGTGGAAGGACTTGTTCCCTCCATCTCTGNAACACAGGGACTCCCAGGAAGCCTGGAAAGGCTATTGAAACATATTTGTTTGCCCTGTTTGATGAGCACCGGAAATCTGCAGGGACTGAGCAGCATTTTGGTGTCTTCTCGCCAAGTAAAGCGCAGAAGCATCAACTAACTTTTGCCTGAAAGAGTTGCTACAGGTTTCTGATGGGCTTTAAGTTTAAATAAGGGTGTCTTGTGCTCCCATTTTATAATGTACTCACGGCTTTTCATTATTTCATATGATAAATAAAACTATTAATTAATGATTGTCACATTCTACATCTTTAGCCAAATAAGAGATGAGGCAATTTATAAGTTTTGTGTCTCTTTAAATAAGGTGAAAAATAATTGCGGGAAGCTTAGAAGAAAATCCTTATAAGTTAGGTACAAAATAAACAATATCTATTTAGATGTGCCAACAAGCAGGGGCTGTACAACATTATCTATCAAGCAAGTCCCCGATCTTCACTCAACATAAACTAGTAATCTTGGTCTAATCAATTTGTATGAAAAAAAAAAATTGACACAAGTATATATATACTATATGCTTTTGAAAAAGCATTGTTGTATCGGAGACTAGTCAATATATTGATGGGGGTACTATAACAAAGGTGTTATACCTCAATCGAATTAATCAAACAATCAAACACAAACACACAACAAATCAGGAACAATCACAACACCAAAATTATCGTGGTTCACTTATCCAAATCGGATAAGCTACATCCACGTTGAGCTTCGGAAATGGGAAAGTCCGCTGTACTAGATCAAGATCCAACAAGATCAATTACACCAAAGATCACACTCTCTACAGTTTACAAGAAATCTTCTCAACAATTTAACCCTAAAGAATCTCACCAAGAAACCCTAAGAATGAGAGCAGGAATACCCTCCCAGAATAACTATCCTAATCACTCAAACAACCCAAGTTACAAAGATTTCTGACACACGAATAAACCCTAACAGAGAACAATTTCTATTCAATAGAGACAATAATCGCAGAGCAACAAAATCTAACTGTTCAAGCGCTTATATAACATTGACCAAATTGAAGGACTTCAATCGTTGGATCAACGACCAAGATCCAACACAAATTAGCTCAAAATGGCAGTGTTCCATTAATCCCCAAAGTGACTCCGTTTCAGTCTTCACATCAACAATCTCCACCTTGAAGACTCTAAGCCATATCCCTCATAGCTGTTTGCCAATTCTGATCACTCCACTGATAGCAATTTCAAGCAGTGCCTAAACTTTGCTGAAGTGATTATCTTTGTGCCCATTTCTACTGGATTTTCTTCAGTGGCAACTTTCTTTAATTCGACTACTCCTTGAGCAACCAAATCTCTCACAAAATGGAAATGAACATCCAGATGCTTGGTCCTTTCGTGATAGACATGATTTTTACTCAGGTGAATTGCACTCTGGCTGTCTGAGTAAATTGTGACCTTCCCATCAAAAAAGTTTGCCTCTGACATCATTCCCTGCAGCCAAACAGCCTTCTTAAACACATTCGCTATAGTTATATACTTAGCTTCAGTCGATGAGAGTGCTACAACAGGCTATAACTGTGATTTCCAACTTATGCAGTTTCCTCCATGGGTGAAATAGTAGACAGTTGTAGATTTTCTAGTGTCTTTATCACCTGCAAAATCAAAATCTACGAAACCAACAAGATCAAGTGTAGCAGCTCTTTTACAATATTTTAATCCNAAACTCCAGGAACTTACAGATTCTGCAAAAGCGGGAGATTGGGTCCAACAAAACGTCCTGGCCTACTCTGCTGATGTCAAATTCCGATACATTGCAGTCGGAAACGAAATCCACCCTGCTGATGCAGAAGCTAAATCTGTTCTTCCTGCAATGCAGAACGTTCACAATGCAATTGCTGCGGCAAATTTACAAGGCCAGATCAAGGTTTCAACCTCAATCGACACTACCTTGGTAGTCAATCCCTCGCCTCCGTCGGCGGGAACTTTCAGTCCTGAAGCAAGCTCCTACATCACCCCCATAATTCAATTCCTGGCACAAAATGGAGCTCCACTCCTTGTCAATGTGTACCCTTATTTTGCCTACATCGATCCCACCGCGCAAATCACCCTGCCTTACGCGTTGTTTACGGCTCCAGAAGTTGTAGTAACAGATAATCAATATCAATACAAAAATCTGTTCGATGCGATAACAGATGCTCAGTATGCCGCTTTGGAAAAGGCTGGTGCCCCCAATTTGGAGATTGTTATATCAGAAAGTGGGTGGCCATCAGAAGGAAATCCTGCAGCCACTGTGGAAAATGCAGGAACTTACTATAGGAATTTGATTGGTCATGTGAATGGAAACACAGGGACTCCCAGGAAGCCTGGAAAGGCTATTGAAACATATTTGTTTGCCATGTTTGATGAGAACCTGAAACCTGCAGGGACTGAGCAGCATTTTGGTGTCTTCTCGCCAAGTAAAGAGCAGAAATATCAACTAACTTTTGCCTGAAGGAGTTGCTACAGGTTTCTGATGGGCTTTAAGTTTAAATAAGGGTGTCTTGTGCTCCCATTTTATAATTTACTCAAGGCTTTTCATTATTTTTGAGCTCCAGAAATCGGAGAGCTTGCTGCACTACTTATTGAGATCAAGATCCAACAAGATCAATTACAACCGAAGATCACACTGTTAGTGTATGCCCTAGGAACCAATCGTGTTGTAAGTTTTAGGACATTATATCTTGTAAATGTATTATAAATAAAAGAAAGTGTTTTTATTTCACGTGTTGATTTTCTGCTTCATTTATATTATATTATATTTAATATTGCATGTGAAATGTCCGGATGACACGGATCTTTAGAAGATCAAATCATCAAAGAATTTCCTATGCAAGTAATGTTAATTGGGCAATAACATTGGATAGTAGGCATACTGAATGTCTCCACTGAATATCATGTGATGGTATTAGTGTGGGTAATTATAAGAGGTATGTCACTAAGGCATTAGCATGGATAAACAGTTAGTGAACTGTTTATCAAATACGACCAATTACGATGAATCACATGGATATGGTCATTGGTGCATCGTAGGATCGTGCTTGTGTACCACTGATCCTTAGACCTAAGACATCACGGTTGGATTCAACATAAGATGCATATGGTTCATACGGTATATAAGCACGAGACTAGTCATGTCTTATGTAATAAGCTGGTTTGGTCATATGTTATTCATATGCAAAGACAAGTGATGGTCAAGATGGGATCCGTTAACTCAAAATTGTCCAATCTCGAGTTCCCAAACGAATGTCAATAAACATTGGAAAAGGGAAATCTCTGGCCAGAGTATAATGAATGTCAGATGAAAAGTAGTTTCATGTCGACGAGTTCCTTTGTATCGATTGACAATTCGATTAAAGATTAAGTTAAAGGTTTGGACATACCATGAACCATTCTTAATCGGGATTAGATAACGGAAAGATTTGACTACACGGTACCTACAATCAGAATAAATTCATTGGAGTTTACACTTCATTGTGGTTTAGGGGTTATAGAACATTGCTAGACGTCTACCATAATCAGTGAGAGTTTCGATTATAAAGAATTATAACGAAGCATATCAAAATCAGATATTGGGCTCACGGCTAAATCACAGTGAACCAAAACAGTCACACATAAAACCAAGCTTAAGGAGAGAGAGTAATACGTATCATTAATTAGATTAATGATGTTCAGACGTAAACGGTTGCATCCGAATTAATGTATTGGTGAGAAATGAGTATCCATGGATAGATTAATGATGTTCAGACGTAAACGGTTGCATTTGAATTAATGTATTGGTGATAAATGAGTATCCATGGATAGCTAGCACTAACCAAGGGTAATAAAGATTTATTAAATATTATTATTGAATTGGATTCAATGATAGGGGCAAAAGTGCATTGGTTTTATTCTAAAGGGTTAGAATATTTGATAGAATTAAAATTTGGTCTAATTATGAATTAACCATAAAACCAAAAACTTGACATAAATGTTTATTCTCAAGTTAATTTTAAATTATTTGAGGCTTTCCCAAAACAATTTAAAATTACACTTTGTTCCCATGGTATATAAATTAAGTTTTATACCATTTTAATTCAATTGAATCAATTGAAACAAAAAGCAATCTCTCACTTTCTCTCTCACTCTCTCGGCTCTCTCATCTTTGGCTTGAGTGGACTTCATTTTGAGTTTCTTCATTCTCTTTTGAAGAATCTAGACTCCAAGTTTCAACATCAAACTTTTAATAGCAAAAGGAGTTGATAATTTTCTATCATTTTCTTACGTTAATANCTCCAAGTTTCAACATCAAACTTTTAATAGCAAAAGGAGTTGATAATTTTCTATCATTTTCTTACGTTAATATGTTAATGTTATAATGGTTTGTTTTCTACCTTATGTCCATCATCTTGATCATCATTTTCTCTCCATTTCCATGTCCAAAATGCATGAATCCCAACAATGGTATCAGAGCATGTTTAAATTCATGCATGCATGTAGCATTTTTGGTGAAAAATGGCTTGGTTTGGACATGAATATATTTTTGCTTTAGATGTATGTTGAAGTTATTGTGTATTTTGAATACAAATGATGATGGATATGTGATATTCATGCTCATTAACATGCTTCTATGAAATTTTGATATTTAAAATACAAATTTTCTTGTTCTTGAGGTCATATGTAACATGCTTGTTTGATTTATTGCATCTTGATGCATTTTTGTTAAATATGAATATGTCTCATTCATATGATACATGCATGTGTAATATAAGCATATTTGATGCAAATTTGATGATTTTGAGAAGGGATGAATTCGGTCAAAACTGATTCAAATGAATAATATATTTTAAATGCATATTTGAAAGGGTTATATGTGATACAATAGTCTATAAATGCATTTGACTTAGATTGTATTGTGAATGCAAGTTGGTTGATTCATCTTTTAGCAAAAATCGGTGAATGATGCATATATTTGCATTTTTTAATTTTATTTGATTGAATGTGATGTGAGAGATTTTTTAATGTGATGGGTAATATAATATTTTTTATAAATATTATGGTCATGAAATTATGCATGTACCCTTGGTTTAATCATGGCATATTTTATACATTTATTGCATGAAGTCCTTTATTTATAAATATTGCAACTTGCATAAATATTTATTTATATACCCTTGATTGAATTAATATTTATTAATGTGATGGATGAATATTAATTAGGGGATGATCATGGGTGTGTATTTATTTTTCCCAAAAATATTTGATATTTGGGCATGTAATATTCTTTCAATGGCTTGTAATAATAATTAATTTTATTATTAGTTTGTTATTCGGGCCTACATGTCCTAAATTGGTTTATGTAATCGTACGACCGGACGGGGGATGGAGATCCGATCAATCACCGGATGAAGATCCACAAGGAGTAATAGAATTAGGTGAATAGTTTACCTAATTAAGATGTATTTTCCAAAACCCCATGATCATCCCACCATGTTTTATATTTATATGGATGCATTTGAATTAATGTATGGGATAAATGTAAAACATTTTTTAATCAAAGGTTAAACCTAATAATCTCCCTAACAAACAATATTAGATCCAAGCCTTCCATTATGGGCCAATTAATTCTTTGGCATAAAATTAGAGATTTCAAGATTTCTATTATGTGAGAGATGCTAATTTTATGACATGAAATTAATTGTCTTAGTTCTTGGATAGAAATTTTCATAATACCCAAGATTTCTATTATGTGAGTGTATAATGTGAATTCTATTTAAAGAAAGCATAAGGGGTTGGATTTAACTAGTCTAGGGTACCAAGATTTCTATTATGTGAGGTATCCAAAACTAGAGGCAAGGAGTGAATCATACCTTATATAGTGATATAAAAGGATATAGTTTCCTACTTGTTAAATTTAATTGACCAAGATTTCTATTATGTGAGGTTTAATTAAATTCAATAAGAATTTGATTCCCCACTAGAAATTTATTCCAACGAAATTTCCAAATCATCATTTAGGGGAGTATGGGATTTGAATAAAATAGTGGGAGCTAATAAGATTAGCATTAAAGGGTTTGAATTTACAAGACACTAATAAAACTTATATTTTTCCTTGTAGTCTATTTCGGTATTTTGTGATATTTAGTTAACGAAAATGAGCAATAACTTGCTTTTGAGGATTCTCGATAACAACATGCTGATCGGACCTAATTTTAATAATTGGTTAAGGAATTTGAGAATTATTCTCAATTCCGAAAAAGTCGGGTATGTCTTGGAAGCACCCCTTCCACTTTCTTTGTCTCATGATGCCACACTACAAGAAAAGAAAGTTTTCGATAAGTGGCAGGAGGATGACTTACGAGCTGGAACCTACATGCTAGCATCAATGAATGCTGAGCTCCAGGTTGAGCATGAAAAGATGGAAAGTACGAATGAGATAATGATCCATTTACAAGAGTTGTATGGTGAGAACTCAGTGGTGAAGCAATACGAATTGTGTTGACACTATTCACAATGAGGCTTAGGGAGGAAGTTGGCCCAGATGATCATGTTATGAAAATGAGTAATATTATAGGGCAATTGCATACACTTGAGATTGTGATGCCATACAGTCTTGAGGTGAATTTGATTCTACAATCCCTACTACCAAGTTTCAAGCCCTTCATCACAAATTATAATCTCAATAGGATTGAGCGCACTCTTGCAGAACTGTCGAATGAGATTCAACAGCTCTATAAACAGGAAGAAAGGAAAAAGGGCAATAGGATGTTTTTGCAGTTTCTTCTAGTAAGACTAAGAAGAAGTAATGGAAGCAAAAGAAAGGTCTAAAATTTGGACCACGGAAAAGGCCTTTTAAGAAGGATGCTTCTAAGACTAAAAAAGGCAAAGAAAAGGTCAATGATAAAGGCCAGTGTTTCCACTGCAAGAAAGATGGGCATTGGAAGAGGAATTGTCCTCTTTATCTGAAGACCTTGAAGAAAGCTCCAGCAGGTATGTTCCATTCTTATGTTATAGAATTTGAATTAAATGTTAGTTCAAATGATCATTCCTGGATATTAGATTCAGCTGCTACATCTCACATTTGTGTTCCATTGCAGGCACTGCGGAATAGTTATGCATTGTTAAAAGGTGAAGTAATTTTGAAGATGGCAAATGGAGCAAAAGTTACGGCCGAGGCAGTGGGGACTTGCCATTTGACATTGCCATCAAGACACATTTTGTATTTGTACAAAACTTTGTATTTTGCCAAAGCAACTAGAAATCTCATCTCATTCTCTGGTTTAGGTAAATCAGGTGAATTGTATCTCTGGTGTCTAAGGATATATTTCGACGGTCTTTCATTTCCCATCCAACAAGTTGGCATATCGACTTTATACATTCCTACAGCCAAAGAGTCTCCCTAACACAATCGTCCTATAGAAACATGTATGCAGCTTCAGTCAATAAGCAGCCTCGCCTCACACACAGGTATGCAAGCATGTGACTTTTTCTAAGCCTTATTGCAGTCCGTCCTCCACAAGTATGCCAAATAATAGGCAGTTGTTAGCTTTTGGTGCTCTGTTACACTGCGTAATAGCAACATATCACAAATACAGATAGGAGGTATAAGCACGTCTCATTCTAAATCAAAATGAAGCAGATGTTGTTAATATCTACTTTTGTAAACCCTTAAGAACACAATAAAGGTATCAACTCTGGGGCTTAAATATTTTTATTGGGTATATCGGATTCTGACTATCCTTCGGCA